TGATACGCACCGCTGCTAAGAATAGATCCAGATGCTGTCGCAGAGAGTCGCTCCTCGGGGCGTGAGGGGGGGGGGGCGTCCTTGGGTGTGGCCGGCACGCCCGAACCTAACTGGGGCGTGGCCGCAGTCCCTTCCACCGTGTTGGGAATCTCTTCTTATTCCTAAATTCCCCGTTGTGCGACTTTTAAACGAGTCCCCTCCCCATGGGCAGAGGAGAGTTTCTTTTTATTATTTCCAAGTTTTAGCAAATCCTCTCGCTGCTGCCCTGCGCGCCTGCCATATCCGGGGTAGGCAACCGGCCCGCGTCGCTGTTCGTGGATTGCCTACCCTGCTAGGCGCTCCACGACCGGACACCGTCGCGTAGTTCTGGACCACACGAAATTACAAGGATGGAAAGAGGGAGGGGGATGGGCCAAGAGAGGAGGAGAGAGGGGGAGGGAGAGAAAGAGACAAGGGGGCGAGCAGCAGACGCATCGCATCATAGCGGTGCGGCGATAGCGCGCGAGGGCTCCGATAGACAAGGAGGAAAAAAGGACGCGCCAACGACCTTCGGGCAGAAACATTCGCGCACGCGTTTGGGCGCGGTATAGGAGGAGAGGGGGAGATAGGGGGACCCGCACGTAAAACACAAGCGGCTATCTCTTGTTATGACGGCGCCCCACGCCGCGCCACGCCGCAGCGCCACTCCCGAGCCACGGCGCAAGACATCATCGATATCACACAACGGATTTGCACCCAACGACACACCGCTAGCACGGCATGCACATGATGACGGCGCGAACGATCCGCCTAGTCGAGGAGGAAGAAAGAGAGAAAGAGTGAGAGAGAGGGAGAGAGAGGGGAGGGAGCGGAAGAGGAAGAGGGAAGGGAAGAGGGAGAGGAAGAGGGAGAGGAAGAGGGAGAGAAAAAGGGAAGGGAAGATGTTGAGGGAGAGAAGAGGAGGAGGGGGAGAGGAAGAGGAAGAGAGAGAGGAAGAAGAGGAAGAAGAGGGATAGGAAGAAGAGGGATAGGAAGAAGAGGGAGAGGAAGAAGAGGGAGAGGAAGAAGAGGGAGAGGAAGAAGAGGGAGAGGAAGATGGAGAGGGAGATGAAGAGGGAGAGAAAAAGGGAGATGAAGAGCGAGAGGAATTCAGAATTTAAGAATTTTATTGACGACTAATACAAAAAAGCCAAGTGGCCGCACTGCCGTATCAGCCGGCTCCCATTAATAATAATTTGCAATATTGTAAATTATACAAGAATAACAGTGATAGAATAAATAAGAGAGGAGGAGGGAGAGGAATAGCGAGAGGAAGAGGGAGGGACAGATACAAAGAGGGAGGAGGGGGCGTGACATCAGCGCGCTCATGCTATCAGCTGCTGCTCGGACAAAAGAACTCTTCGCGGAACACGTCTGCCCGGCCAGCCCGGCCCTGGGCCCGGCCGCCAGTCACAGCGAGCAGTCCGAGGCGAGTCGATAAAAGAGAATAACAACACACACGTCCAGCCCCAAGTCATCGCCGCTTCCAGCTAAACCGGACGGGCCGCGGCGGCGAGCAGAGCGGAGCGGCTCGGTGAGCAGAGCGGCTCGGCGCGCAGCGGGCCGAGCAGCGGCCGAGCGGAGCATATAATATAATGAAGCGTCGCCTGGACTTGTGAGTCACCCGGCGGCAGGACGGGGACAGCCCGGCGCGGCCGGCGGAGAAGGTCGTTGGCTCCGTGTGAGCTGCGGGCGCTGCGGGCGTGAGTGTGTGAGCGTGACTGCGAGTGAGTGTATGTTTGGGAGTTTGCGACCGGAACCGGTATTCTACGAAAAAGATTCGGCGCACAGCAGGGGCCGCGTGACCGGGCCGGCCACCTATTTCTGTCGCGGTTTTTCTCGTTTTCGGCGGCGACAGTTGTTGTTGCGGCGAAGCGCGGCACGTCAGCGGCGCTGCGGGGGTCGCCCAAGGTTCGGCCAGACGGCACGCCGACTCACCTGGCTGAGGCTGCCCTGGCTGCCGTTGATCTCCAGGATCCTGAAGTGGTTCGTGAGCCTGACGCCGCCCCCGAGGCCGCCCCCGAGGCCGCCCCCGAGGCCGCCCCCGAGGCCGCCCCCGAGGCCGCCGCCGCCCATGGCGTCCTCGCCGTCCGTCAGCGACGTGAGGCTGCGCGAGCGGCTGCGGGGCGCGCGCCGCCTCCGGCCTCCGGCAGCGCGCCGCCCGGGCGCCGACGCGGGCGCCGGCTCCGACGGGCTGTCGTCGTCGTCGTCCTCCTCCTCGTCGTCCACTAGGTCGTCGTCGATGTCGTTGTCGTCGTCCGTGTCCGACGTGAGGATGGTCCTGGGCCGGGGCCGCGGCCGGGGCAGCGGGCGCTTGGCGGCGGGCGCCTCGTCGGGCCGCACGGGCCCCAGCCCCGCCATGTAGGGCTCGAGGAAGCCATCACCCCTGCAACACAGGACACGGGAACGTCAGACAAGTTCACAAATGAAATGCATTTTAATATGTTGCACGAATACACACGCCCCGAGCACTGACGACCTACTGTGTACTGTTTGTGATGAGAGACAGCTCTAAAATAAGCACACTTTACACTCTTTTTTTGCAGTTATAAAATAATGACAGTTTCATTTCATCAGTATTACGTCCCTTGGCCAGGGGTGTGGTGGTAATTTGCTGACCCATCCCAGCCCCAGCTATAAATAAAACAAAAAAGCAACCCTTCCGCATCAAAACTAAAGCGACATCGCTCGCTATAAGCCCCAAAAGTTGCACTCAACGCCAAACCAACACTGCTCTTCCATAGTTAACTTTTTTTTGTCTCGTTTTTCGCATTTGCAGTTCCGCTACATGAGCGGCTAGAGTGCGAAGTAGCATAGGTGTGCGTGTGTCTCTCTCTCTCTCTCTCTCTCTCTCTCTCTCTCTCTCTCTCTCTCTCTTTGCGTGTCTCTGGGGGAGGGATGGGATGGAATATAAACCACAATTAGCAAGGTACGCCGCTGTATAAGCCGGTAGTAAAACAGCCGGAGGGGCTGACGCAACAATAGAGAGACGATGTGGGAGGGGGATCAAAGCAGATCCCCACCCCTTCACAACGCATGGGCGATACTGGGCGCTAACGGGTCTGGATTAACGGCCGGACCGTCCAAACTTTGTCCAGCCCGCCGTGCATAATCAAGCTCTGGCCGGAGAACTGGCGGCCGCAGTCTGCTGCAGTGCGTAGCTGTATAACTACACCAATGGCTAAAGGAGGGATGACCAATTGTTAATCTATTAGCTGAAAAATTAGCCATGTTTAGCTACGCAGCTATGGTTTTAAATTATCTAAATAGAGGAACTAATTATTTAGCTATGAAGTTGGAAAAAATGTAGCTATGTCGCAAAACAATTAGCGATCTCCTCGTCATCCCCTCATTTAGCTATTGGTTTGGCTATAACTCATCACTTTTTTCGTGTAGCAGTAATATAACAATAACTTATGGCGATTCCAGCATCCGCAGGCATTGGTATGCGGGGGAGTGTGGAAGAGTAGAGGGAGAGGGCTGCGGTGCACGAGGGTCGCCCCCTCCTCCGAAACCTTCCAGGGGGACCCAGTCCGCCCTATGGCGAGGACCGCAGCACAGGCCGCTAAACGCCTCCGTTACGACCGCCATGAATAGCGCTGTAATGCCGGTGAGTTACGTGTCGATGGCCGGACCGACCCCGACCCGCCCCACCCCCTCACTACGACACCCGGCGATAATCTGCTGGGGGTGAGGGGAAGGGGGTGCATCTCTGCACTTCTGGTCCCTTGCTCAGCGAATGCCGGGACGCACTGACGTTGTCCTCACAGGCCTCGGGCCACAAGGCCCTCCAGCTCTTCAGCATAGGAAAATACACACATTATATAGTGTAGATACCAACTCCAAGCACGCGCGTGGGGTTGTCGCATAGCAGGTTGTTTGTTTGCCACACGCCTCGAAAAGGATCTCGATCGGATATTCGGCGGGTGTCGCTGTAGCGGCCCCCTGTGCCGAGCAGGGCGGCCAGCGGGCGCCGGGTTCCGTTTATGTGGTGGGCCTTCCCTCCCCTCTCTACGCTGACCGCCGGACGGCTCGCCCGGGCGAAACATTCGGCCCCCGCAAGCAACGCACCTGCGCTACTAGAATGTCAACGAGTTGGGGTACGGACCAAGAGAGCGAGCGAGAGAGAGCAAGCAAGAGCGAGCGAGAGAGGGGGTCACAGGGTTAACCCACGAACCAATACTTCCTCCATGGGTTAACGGCGGAAGGGGTCCCACATCAAACATCGGGTGCATCATCATTACACTTGGGGGAAACGAGGCAAAATCCGCAAAATGAGTGAAACGTGATCTGAAATTTCATCTGTGAGGGCCAGCTCGGCCGCCCCCCGGGCCAACCCCAGCCGGCGCGTGCTAACGGCTGCACGCCCCTCGTGGTGTTATTTCTAGTATTATTTCGTTAATACGAAATAAATTTCGAGAATAGCAGAAACCAGTGCTCGATCGCATTGGAAAAGCGTTAGACTGCGCCTTGTTTCTCGCTCGCTAGGAAGTGAAGGAGGTGCTCTTCAGGTCCTTCGACTCGGCTAACGAGCTTTTCTAACCGCGGAGGACACCGAGGCGAACGCGGTACGGTGCGACCGGCTGGGACCACCCGGCGTCCCCCAAATAAATCAGACCGCTCCAGACGAATTTTCGCCAGCGAATAAGAGGAGTGGTCGGTGCAAAAATAGCGGCGGCACACCGAGCCGAGGATGTGCACGCCAGCTTCCGACCGGCACTCCGTGATTTAGCCGTCTAGACGGGCTGGGCGAGGCGGGGTGGGGCGGGGTAGCCAGCGGGGTGGGCCGCGAGGCATGAATAAGCCAGGCCTCTGCCGCTTTGGGGTTGGCCAGCTCTCCACCACCACACATTTCGACAAAAAGAGCCACCGGAAGCGGACGAGAAGCAAGGAGAGAAAGGGGGATACCGGGCGCGGAGAGAGGAGAGGGGTATGGAGAGAGAAAGAGACAGAGAGATGAGGAGAGAGAGGAGGAGCGTGCTAGCCGGTGCTAGCTGCCCAGCTGGGACGGAGGCGAACACTTGCCAAAAAGAGAGGCGGGGCCAGACCGGCAGACTAAACAGACAGAGAGGGAAATTGGAGGAGGGCAAGACGGTAATGACACGGCCGCTGGGCACGCACGCAGGCGCCCCGCGGCCTACACTCGAGCCCGGTGTATCGACTCGGTATCGCCTCGACCTCCGCCCGATCACTTTGTCGGTCGGAAACTTTGTCAATTTCACAGTCCCGTGGGCAGGCTACCGCGGGCTCGGCGGCGCAGGCACGAGTAGCGCGCCCGGCTGTAGCAGTGAGCACCGGCCGCGCCCTCAACACCTGGAGGCGCGCGCGTGCCGGCCCGGTGCGCACGCACGGCCGGGGGGAGCGACTTCCGGCCGCGGAGCCTGGATCACATGCCACCTGCCGGCCTGGCGTCTGCAGGAGCACGACCGCGACGCGCTTGTAGAGCGCACGCCGCGGACGGGCGACGGGCGGTCGGGTGTCACCAGGGTGTACTACTAGGGCGATGAAACACTACACTGGCGTCTTCCTCAAGTCCTTTCACTACACAAGCATTTGTTCCGGGTTTATGCCCACAGAACTATGGCGAGTGACCCGAGTGGTGACAGGACACTCCACCAGCCCTAAAAGCCAGGTGGCGTTCGAAAAGTAACAATAGGGGGCCTAGATATCGCCACGCCACTCCACGAGCACTTTGCACATTGACTCGACTGTCGCGGGGCACGTCCGCCGGGGACCCCGTCGGCTATCTATTGGGACTTCACACCGAAACGGTTCGTATACGAACGTGACGCTTTATTTCGAGACGTGCAAAAGCGAAAAGAAACAACTCGAGAAAGAACTGCGGTGTGTATAGGGGGAAGAGCAGAGGGGATGGAACACGTTTCGGTCTATAGTGCGAGTATGTGCACCGTGTGTGTGTGTGTGGCAGTGTGGGGGCCTTACACACATAGACACATCGTTGAAATGTGTGGTGGATCAACGCCAAGGCGCGCCGATGCGAGGGGTGGCGCTGCGTGGCGCGGCGAGGCCGGCCAGCGGTGGTGAGGCGGAGGGGCGGCCGATATAGCGAACACGAACGGTAAATACTGGCAATTGTGTTTGTGGCGCCACGGCCTCGGCCACAGCCGGAACCGTCGCCCGGGCCGTCCTGAGTGGCCTGGATGCGAGGGGAGCCGCAGGCTGACGCTGCCCACACAACTTTTATTGCACCGCGTCTTGAGCGTCGGTGTCGCACAGAACGCAAAAAAATAATAATAATAAAAGAAGATGTCTGCAAACACCAAGTAATTGCTTCGGAGACGGAGCGGGTTTGTTTTCATGTTTGTTTTCACTTTACCGGGGAAAGTCTACCGACAATCTGACTCGAGGAATGAAAATCGCGAAAACGGGGGGCGATAAACAACACATAGCGCTGCAAAGAAACGGAACGGCCGAACCATGAGAAACAAAACCGAAACATAACAAGAAAGTAAAACACGGTAAAGAAATACGATAAAAGGCCTCGCTAGAGGGGTGTGTGCCTCTGTGCCGAGCCAGCCCGTGTCACATGCACGGGCACCGCACTGTGTGGCGTTGCGGCCCTCCCCCACAGCGCGCCTTCAAGCGTATCACGCACGCACACTACACAACGCAGCCAGCACAGCCAGCCCCGCACTTGCGGTTGTGCGTGGACGTGGGGCGTCTCCTCCCCCACCCCCAGCTCCAGCACACTCCTGCTCTCCTGCTTCCTCAGCCGGCCCCCGTTTCCCTGTCCAACGCCCAACCTTGTCCCTTCACAACCCCTCCGTACCCCACGCTCCCCCTTTCGCATTC